CACATACATTCAATTGCAGCATAGTCTGACTACTCACATACAAACTCATTTCTCAGTGAAATTTTGCGCAAAAGTTTCTTCAGAGCGCAGCGCAATGATGCAAAATGACTTATGAACTTCCTACCAGAAGCTTAACCCTCGTCGTTCTAGAATCCACGATTTGCCTCGCACTTAACATTGGCAGTTTTGTAGGCAATGCCATGCTCTGTTTGGCCGTCTATCGCAATCCAAGGATGAGATCAACAACAAATCTCTACATCATCGCATTGTCTGTGGGCGATCTGATGTGTGCAGTTCTGGAAATGCCACTAACGTTTTGGACTTTGGCTGTAGGAAAATGGGTGTTCGGCAACGATGCGTGCCAACTTCACGGCATCGTGGACGTGTTCTCAACGTACAGTCCACCAGCTACCATGGCTCTCACGGCGTTTAACAGATACATACGCATCGTGAGGGCTGACCATTATGGAAAAATATTTTCTCCTTGGCGTTCTAAAGTCTGGCTGTTTTGTGTGTGGTTCAGCCTCGCTGGATATCTTCTTATTGCGCGCGTAACAAATTGGCAAAGATACGACTTTGTTGTCGGTTTTGCCGCGTGCAGTGTGGAACATTACACAGAAAACAGGAAACTTATTCATTATTGCTTTGTGGTGTCGTTATACTTTGGCGTTTCATTTTTAGTTGCAATATTCTCTTACTACAATGTGTTTCAGGCAATTAGGAAGCACCATTTACAAGTAGCAGCCAGACTGTACAGCGAGTCAACGACTTCCACATCGCAAACGCTTAGAGTTTCAGTACAAGAAATTAAAGCCACTAAAACGATCGCTTTTGTGACGTTAGGTTTTACCCTTTGTTGGATACCGATGTGGGGACTTTCTCTGACCAACAGATTCTCCTCGAGCCCTGTACCAAGAATAATCCCATTACTCGTAATCTTTTTCGTCTTCTTAAGCACCTCCATCAATCCCATTGTCTATGCTGCCACAAACACTGGATTTCGACAAGAATTCCGCAAAATGGTGATCTGTTTCAAGCCGAAAGCAAACCTTTCCTCCCTGCGTATAGGAGCTGTATGATTGAAGAGAGAATTAATTTAAACCATGAAAAAGCCGAGAATCTTAAAGATGTACAAAGAAACGTCAACGTTACCTAATTATCTCGCTTTTGTGACCGCTTTAAAAGCAGGGATGCTAAGCAACTATTCAGTGCAACAACAAAAAAATGCTGCTCATGCAGGACAGCTCGAACCAAGTCAGTTAAATGATTCGGCCACAAGTTACGTCACATTGATATTGCTGTTGTTACTTTTCCCATAGGTTTGAGCAACTCTATGAATCTCATTAACTTCACTGCCAGCACATGTTACCGAAATATATCAATTTCTACAGGACTTACGCGACACTGTTTTTTGTTTAGTTTAGTTTAGTTTTTGTTAATTTGTTGATTTTATCTTAATTTCAGCAAAAATCTATTTCGGCTATGTACAGAGGGGAATATAAGCGAACGTAAGCAATTCAAAGAGATTAATTTTCTTATGGATAATATTTGCTTACTGACAACTCTAACATAACGTTGGAGATTTGAAGTGTTATGTCACGATATAAGTGGACAGCTCCCACAGCTGTTGGTGATAAAAGAAGTTATAGGGGCTAAAAAAGGCCAAGGATAATGAGAGCTCTGGACTTAAAANATAGGTTTGAGCAACTCTATGAATCTCATTAACTTCACTGCCAGCACATGTTACCGAAATATATCAATTTCTACAGGACTTACGCGAAACTGTTTTTTGTTTAGTTTAGTTTAGTTTTTGTTAATTTGTTGATTTTATCTTAATTTCAGCAAAAATCTATTTCGGCTATGTACAGAGGGGAATATAAGGGAACGTAAGCAATTCAAAGAGATTAATTTTCTTTTGGATAATATTTGCTTACTGACAACTCTAACATAACGTTGGAGATTTGAAGTGTTATGTCACGATATAAGTGGACAGCTCCCACAGCTGTTGGTGATAAAAGAAGTTATAGGGGCTAAAAAAGGCCAAGGATAATGAGAGCTCTGGACTTAAAAATCATAAGTCAGCGGATGGTGGAGAAGAAATGGCAGCCATTTGCAGCACCTGCTCCAGGTTGGTTAGTCAACAAAGCTTTATGGGGAGGCCGCGTCCCAAGGTCCAACCCGTTACACTTTTACATACCATTCATTTTGACAGAAAGGGTACCCTTTTCGTATACCTACCATGGAAAATATCCCTTGGCTCGTACAGAAGGTTTTGTAATGTAATGTTTAATAGCCGAGATTAGAATGATAAATCCATGAGGCGCTTCGAAACATGTTAGTGAACCAAAGGCAATTTGAATACTTGAACAAAGAAAGATTTTGATTCCCTTTCATATATTACCACATGTGAATTTCCTCTTTGATATAGCTGAAACCCTAGAAGGGTAATCCTTTTTAGTCTGCCCGTGTGGGCCATTTTAGGGAGTACCCCTAACCCCGGGTCTTGTCGGGTACACTGGGTGAGCCCTGGTACAGACTTACTTTTCCTATGGACAGTCTTTGTTAATTTGCCTTTTTTGATTAGTGATAAACTTTCGTTGTACCTTATTATAGGAAATTAACGCTTCATGAATTAAGGTATGGGAAATTAACGCCGCGACTTAAATTACCGTAAACTTAGTACAAAACGACTTTCTAATAAACGCTATTAATGCGAAAGGGAGGGTAAGATTTCAAAATGAAGGAAATTAACGCGACATTCAGTTCACAAAGAAACAAAACTTGTCGAGACAACACTACCCTGCGAGCAGAGGCCCTTCGATCTTCCTAGATAAGTCACTTCCTCGTCCCGACTTATCTAAGAAGATCGAAGGGCTTCTCCTCGCAGGGTAATATAACACGGGAACAGCGTAAAAAGTGTGATTCGAAATGGAAAATTTGTTATTGGTACTTTCCTTTAACGTACGAATGGTTTCAAGGGAAGAAATATGGCCACTTCGAGGGTGCTTCACAGTTTCACTGTTACTGGCGGATGTCCACACCAATACTTAATAAAATCGAGATTCTCCTCTTTCTTACACCCGGCCCATGACAGGTAAACAGAGCTTCAATTAGCTCAATAATAAGTCAAAGTGTGAATTATAAGAAAAGTGAGATTTAATTTTCCTAAATGTCTTATGGCCGGGTTACATTTCTTATAGCCTGAGAGCTGCAGCTGGTACGAGGTCTGGAACAGGTAAATCTTGTGGGGTCTAAGACGGTTGAATATTGCGAAAATTCTCGGAAGATCCGATCGCTTACCAAGTGCATTTCTCGGTTAAAGAATTGCCTACGTTAAACCCCAAAGCGCCAAAAGAAAACAAGCCCAAGCATCGATAATATTTCATGTACGTAACATTTATTCACTTATTATATTCGAAAAAGATGTAACAGTCCCCTGTCACTAAAAAATTTATGAACTACGACTGTGATAAAATTTAGGGATGAGATGGTCGGTGGCATCAGTGGCTTGAGTTACTGAGCTACTTTTTTCTTTCCAAAAATTATTACTACGACATAGCAAAAATCCTAGCTCACGTTCGAAGGTCTCGCGATTAGCAAGTTTGCGTTCTTGAGTTGCAGTCGCAGTATGTCGAATGGAATTCGGACTCCGAAATCTGGGAAATTTTTACTTTTGGAATCCGGAATCTGGGAAATGTTTCCTTATGGAAGCGGAAATCCTGGGCTTTGTAATCCGGAATATAGCTCAAGGAATCGGGAATCGCACTCACAGAATCAGGAATCCAAGTTCCACTGACAAAGACCGGAATCCAGTACCTGGAATCCGCAATACAGTCATCGTGAAACCCAGAATCCAAGACTGTCTTGGATTTCCTTAAATGGTGCGACTGCACAGACATAACAATCTAATTTCACAGAAAATGGAGTGACAAGGTAGTGAATGTCAAGGTATTTTCAAGACCTAAGAAAGAAATCAAGTACTTTTCGAGGACCTCAACCAAATTCAAGGACTTTTCAAGACGATTACTAGAAATCAAGACCTCTTCAAGATTGTGCGAAACCATGGTAACTCATCAATACAGTTGAACCCTCCACAACCGACACCTTGGGGACAGACGAAAGTGGCTGGTTGTAGACAGGTGGCCGTTGTAGAGAGGTTCAAACAGGAGCCAATGTATGGACTGTCCGCAAAAAACAGTGGACGCAAGAAAAAAGTGGCCGTTGTTGAGAGGTGGCCATAAGTAGAGGTTCGACTGTACTTGCAACTGGGGTACCTGTTTAAATCGGAAATCCTTGCAGTAGTACGTATTACCCTCATCACGAATTAAAGCAATTAACATTTTGGGCCTTAAGTAAACACATGATATGACCCGTTACACTTAATTAAAACAGTAAACCCATCTAGATGAGCTACACAGATGCGACAGCAATATTGCGCTGAATTCCATTATTGAAATAGATATAATATCGAAGATAAGTAGCGTAATAAAGGTTGAAGATAAGAGACTGGACAACTAAACGATAACAAAAACAACGATTGGGGAATATGATATACTGTATCAGTTTTCCGGCCACGATGACCAACAAAATGTTCTCTAAAGAAAGATCCGTGACGAATTAACGCTTTTTTCGGTGCTGTCTCAGTTAACGCAGGTGTATCTGACTATTTGGTAACGTTGCACGACATTTTTTGATGAAATATATCTTCGAGTGGTAAAGAAAACAACGATAATTTGCAGAAATAAATGACTTGACGGAAAAAATGTCATTTAACTGTTTAATTTAACCAGTGCAGTACTAGCAAAAGACCAGAAGATCACTTTTGTCTTTTATCTCTGTTCACAAAGAGACAGAACTTTTTTCTGTCTTTATTTAATCAACGTTGCCATGACAGTTGAGCGGCGCAGGTAGCCTTTGGAGCTGTGCCATTGCATTGCCTTTCACCTCAGTTCTTTTTGTAGCGTTTGTAACCTAAAAGATTAAAGTTTCCGAGCAACAAGCTATCTTGCGTGATCAGCATTCTCATAAAGTGGTTTTTGCCCGTATTTCGCAGAGCTTCTAACAGTTGCGCTGGCAGATGCGCTAGCTCTCACGATAGCTAAGTAAGTAACGTTGACGTTTTTTTCATCTTCGGGATTCTCCGCTTCATGGTTCACATTGATATTCTCCACAATCGTACCTGCACGCATACGCGCAGTGGGAACTCTAGCTTTTCGCTTGAAACAGAATACCATTCTGCGAAATTCTTGTCGAAATCCATTGTTAGTAGCAGCGTAGATAATGGGATTGATTGAGCTGCTTAAGAAGATGAAAAATGTTACGAGTAATGGGATTATTCTTGGCACAGGGCTCGAGGAGAACCTGTTGGTCAGAGAAAGACCCCACATCGGTATCCAACAAAGGGTAAAGCCTGCCATTACAACAGCAATCGACTTGCTGATTCTAATTTCCTGTATTGAAATTCTCAGCGTTTGTGTTGCGGAGGTCGTGGCTAATGAGGCGCTGTACAATCTGGGAGCTACTTGTAAATGGTGCTTCCTAATTGCTTGAAACACATTGTAGTAAGAGAATATTGCAACTAAAAATGAAACGCCAAAGTATAACGACACCACAAAGCAATAATGAATGAGTTTTCTGTTTTCTGTGTAATGTTCCACACTGCACGCGGCAAAACCGACAACAAAGTCGTATCTTTGCCAATTTGTTACGCGCGCAATAAGAAGATATCCGGCGAGGCTGAACCAAACGCCAAAGAGCCAGAACTTAGAACGCCAAGGAGAAAATATTTGTCGATAATGATTAGTCTTCACGATGCGAATGTATCTATTAAAGGCTGTGAGACCCATAGTGGCAGGTGGGCAATAAGTTGAAAACACGTCCACGAAACCGTGAAGTTGGCATACACCGTCGCCGAACACCCATTTTCCAACGACTAAAGTCCAAAATGTTAGTGGCATTTCCAGCACTGCACACATCAAATCGCCCACAGACAATGCGATGATATAGAGATTTGTTGTTGATCTCAGCCTTGGATTGCGATAGACGGCCAAACAGAGCATGGTATTGCCTACAAGACTACAGATGGTAAGTACGAGACAAATTGTGGATTCTAGAACGACGAGCGTTAAGCTCCTCTCAGGAAGCTCATTAGTCATGATGACGGGTCCATGTGTTCGCTGATCTGTGAAGATTACAAGAAACCTAACTGCTGAATATGTTTTTCATGTGTCCGAAGTCAGTCTGCTCTACCACCTTAATGAATAAAATAAAATAAATAATATTTTTTCTTAATATTGCTGAAATCTGTATCAATACATGAAGAACATCTGAGTGTGATTAAGGAAAATCGCATACAGCAGTAAATAACTCGTCTGACTTTTTCTAGGCTTTGAAAACACAGAATCGAATGATTTAACTACCTAACAGCTGTTGGCAATACCTAATCAGCAGAAATCAAACCAAACATTCACCTTAAAACTTTTCTTTCTTTCACGCTGGTCTGCTTGATTAGGCGGACGGCAGGTGACACAATACAACTTTCATGGCAACACTCGCTCGGTGTATAACAATGAGCTTAATGCATTTTCTCAATGCATTGAATGCGTTTTTACCCCGGTAAGTTTAGCTTGTCATCGCTATTGCGCACTTTAAACAGTTCTCGATGCTTCGTTTACTTTTGCTAATAATTTTAAGCGAAGCTTAAGCTACTAATGTCAGTCAGGACGTTAATGCCACCTTGTGTTTGCTCTCCAAATGGATATATGTGTTTTCACACCGACCAGTAATTTACATTCAAAATCATGATAATAACTTTTCTCAGTGTTCAGGAAACCAAACCCTCTTTTTTCCATGGTACATATCACATAAAAGTGCCGGTTATATCAAATTAACTTCGCTTCTTCTCCAACTCTCCCAGTTTAATTACCGAGGAATGACAGCCATCTCTTCCCGCTCTGCGCCGCTAGGGACGTGGGGCGAGAAGAGACACCTGTTTACGTAAGCTACCGCTTTGAAAAAGAAAAAAAAACTGTGCGTGGAGGTTATTGAATTTTTCGACTTGCCGCCTTATGCGTGGCTTGTATTCTAACCAGCTTTCTTTCGTTGAGCACACTATGGTTACTGAAATGTATATATAAAATTAAGAAGACCTCGGAAATATAGGGCAAAATAAGGAGGCAATAATTATTCATGCCGATAAAAAGAAATTTCCTGTACTTTTTAATAGACAATATTTTATGGTCGCGTAAATAACCTTACGCTTGACACTTTTAGGCGGCAATAGTCGCTCTCGAACTTACAGTATCTCGAAAAACTGCCTTGACACCAGACACAGGAAAAACATTGGACTGAAACTGAGAATTTTTCTATATTACACCGTCTCAACCAAGTTACCTTACTTTTCTACGGCAAGTTAATTTTTCTCTTCTTCCCCAATGTATTGCGTTTATTTTCGAATGAGTTATACATGAATAAACATTGGAGCGGGTAAGATAAAAAGTGCTTCAACGAATGTGACAAATTATTGTAGGCGTTGTCTAGTAGACTGCTGTGGTGTGTGAACTATTGCTGTGATGATCAATAATTAAAGGTTATAAAGTGCTTCTGATCAATAGACCTCACTCATTGAAACCCAAGTGAAGTAAAAGGTGACTCCTCGAAGTCGGTTTTTCATACAGGGAATTTGCACAATAATAACTACCAGACATCCTTTTTTTTAGAAACAAGCTCTGCTGAACCTGTTTGGTCGCTATTTTATTGACTATCTAGGATCGCACGGTGGGTGGGGTGGGGATCGTTTTAATTAAAGAATCTCTGCCTTCGCGATTATCAGTCTTACGAAGTTACTGGACGACTTTAACAAGAGAATGCATAAAGAGGCCTGTTCGAACTGCCGTTTTAAAAAATAGAATATTCACTCGCACACAGTACAAACACCGTTCCATTTAAAGAAATGAAAACGACTGTAATACTTCAGTGTTCTGCATGTACCTACCGTTCTATTTTAAGAAATGAACTGACGACTGTTATACTTCAGTGTTCTGCAAGAAAGCGAAAGGCTCAGTCAGAGAAAACCCTTTAGTGAAACTTTTTCGAAAATCACAATCAAAGTTTCCAAAGAAATTTCTTTTGAAAAAAAAAACCGGCAAAAAGTGAAATGCTGCCCCACGCCGTATAGTCGCCGGTCTAAAACCTTTGAATTATACCTATTTTCAAAGCCCTCGGGAAGAAAAACGGTTCAAGTAAACAAGTTCATCTTTGGCAGGTAAGTAACGCATCCCAGTTACAATACTATTTGGTAAAAATATTGCAAGATAATGAATTTTTTACTCGGTTAAAAAACGCCCAAAGATTCCTATCTTCAGCACTTTCATAAACAATGAAATTTTGCGAAACTTTGAGGAAAAAATCACGGCTTGGTACATGGAATTTTGGAAGAATTATTAAACCTCAGTAAAGCCCTACTGTTGTAGTACAACATATAAAAAATCCATCTTGGTTAATTAAAAAGCAACGCGCCGAGAGAGGTAAACGCGCAGTTCATTTTTGATGTTTTTAAAATAAAACGTTGAAACCGTCAGGCAACCGCGGGTAACACAAACATATGCATTTTTTTCAATGAAGATGAATATTTAATGTAATAATTATATTCACACGAAACTCCCCTGGACCCTGTGGATCAACTGGGAGGGTTTTATCTACTGAGGCCGCATGTCGTTCGAGTGCAAAATTCATTAATTTCTGACTGGCTCCAATCCCCAGATTAATTCTTCAAACCTACTCTGTGCCACTTATGCCACTTAGCATATTTGAAAGACGCGATCAATATACCATCGGTTCGATGGTATTTTCATTGATTAGAAACGAGGTTGACCGATGGTTTATTTGCTTGAAAGAAAGGCTACTTGGGCGATGGTGAACTTAATAACTGCATTCATAATTATTCGAAGACGAAATGGCTGTCGAGTTTCTGACTAAAACAGAAAGGAAGAAATGCAAGAAAATGCAAACTATATTGCATGGTTGATGTTATCTACTTTTTGAGGGCTATCTGCAAGAAAAAAAAATATCGGTTTTTATCCTGAGTCGACCGTGCCGAAGAATAGGCCAAAGGTTTGAAGAAAGTCACGAGGAAGTACGCTTGTTAAGAACTTGGAAAATTTTTGAAAAACAATTATTGAATTCGACTATCGTATGATGCAAAGAATTATGCTGATTTCGGAGGCGTTTACTTATCCACCTTGGATGATCATCCTCCTTGATCAGCGCCGTAGCTAGTATGAGGCAAACCGAGGCACTCGCCTCGGTAAAATTTTGACGAATTTCGCCGATCATTTTTATTTTACATAAGCGATCATCGGATATTTTTAACGCATCATGATATTACAAAGAATTCAGCAATTCAGTCAATATACTATGAAAAAATTACCATATCATCGATCTCAAGGGGCTACGTACGTTAACTCAAATTTTTTTTGAACAAATACTGATCAAAACCATTGGCGAGGTTAACGGTCACCCAGATTATGTAGCTTGTTTCTGATTATTGCTTTTTAAATTCCACTTAAATTAACTCGAAAAAAAGTTACCGAAAGGCCCAGAAAACGCTGCAAATCGCATTTCCGAGAGACTAAAGTTCAAAATTTCTCGGGGGGGGGGCATGCCCCCGAACCCCCCTAGCAACTCCCGCCTGCCTCGGTTGGCCGTTTGGTATGGCTACGGCACTGTTGATCTGGACAATTATCCACATCATACCCAGCTTTATTCGACTACGTGATCAGGAGGAACCCGCTGAGAAATGAATTGCCTCTCCGCTGAAACTTTTCTAGTTCGGTCAAGAGATGGAATATCAACGGGGTCTTTCTGCAGGTACCGTCATCCAAAAGAAACAAAGTAATCAAACAATAGAGTTCTCGAGGCTTTATTATTTGGTTGTATTGTTCCTTTTGTTGTAGGTTATCTGTGCCTCGGTACATCTAGAAAGAACCTATCAGTGAGATTACCAAGGAGTTGATGCTGTGTCTTATTGCACAATGGGAGTGTTTTGGGGGACGAATTTGAACCCAGCTTTCTAAGCAACTGAGTAATATTCAATAGAAGAAGTGATTGCATCTCCAAAACAGGCCCATGGTAAAATTCCACACGACACCGACCCGGCAGTCTTGTGCTCACCCGCAAAATGGCTAGCCGGTGGGGCAGGCAGAAAAAGGGGAGGGGAGGAGGAGAAAAATAGCAAAAGGGAGAGAAGAAAGGGAGCCCTTTCCACTCTTTCCAATAACACTCCTCCAAAGTTTTTCCCCTCCATCCCTAACCCCATCAACACCTGCCAATTAAGCACGCTACCAGCCAACCATCTCTTGGGTTAGTTTTATCCAGTTCCACTACCTGTGAGGGACACATGACATTGCCTATGTCACCAGCAGGAAGAGAGGGTAATGATTGGTCTTTGAGGTCTTCAGGGTTCCCACTTTTCCATCTGTATGGGGGTGTTTACGTGAGATACATATATATACGGTTGACCCCTGCTTTACCTACACCCACTTAATATAGACACCTCATTTTTATGGACAGTTTTCTTTGTCCCTTCTCTACTTAATACAAATCCCGGATGGTACTACCAAAGAAAAATGACACCCTTCTTTAAAAAAGCCCAAGCCCAAAAATACTGATCCCTATTTAAGGGAAATTAAAAAAGTACGACATTAATGGCAACACACAAACTTTCATTAAATCACTTTACCAAAATACAGTCAAACCCTGCCACACAGAGATCTGCTTAATAAGGACACATTGCTATCATGGACAGTTTCCTTTGTCCCTGGGGAAAGCCCTCACATATTCTCTAAATTTAACCCACTTAATATGGACACCAGTTAAAGCGAACAATTGACACTTCTTTCTTGTTAATCAGTATTATAGGACTTTATATTTCCTATATGTTACTTAAAATTCCATCAAGTTGCCCCAACATTGATGAAAGTTGGTCCAAATGGCATAAGTTGCCAGAAAGTTGTTCCGAATTATATATGTCAAAATTAAAGTTGCCAAAAGTTGCTGAGCAGCTTTTGGCCATGGCTAGACAGTGGACACTTCCTTCTTGCCCAATCAACAGATTCTCGTAGAAAAACAACCTCACTAATGTGAACACTTCATTATCAACTGTGTTCTGTAATAGGCCTGTTTCCTTTTTGAAGGTAAAAAAACCCTTCAGTTGACAGCATGTTGATGTTCTAAGCACTACAAGTTATGCTGAAAGCTATGCAGAAAGTTATGCAGGTTTTGGTTAAGTAATTTATAGATAGTGATTTTTGAGTGTTTCTGTGGATTTATAGTCTGTGGAATGATGGTTTTGTGAAAGTTTGGAGTATTTTTTAAAAATTTATGATGCTTGGGTCTTTTTTGCATTTCTTCGTAGTAAGGTGTTTTTTGACTTTAATATTACCAATAACATGACCTTCTTAATATGCACAACATGCATTAATTATGGACACTCTCTATGTTCCCTTCAGTGTCCATATTAACGAGGTTTGACTGTATGAAGTACAAACTAGCAAGAGTACGGTGTTACTTACTGACAGGCAGGGCAAAGGTCTAGTCAATAAAGTTCCTTTTCAAATAGAAGAGCACGAAAGTCTTCAAATCTTGTTGTCTCAGGTTCTAGCCCAAGAGTTCCCTGCAATAACTTTACAGCTGTTTCTTTTAAGAACTTGTCCTGATCATGGTTGATGCGAAATATGATGTCTCCCTGAATATTCTGACAGGCAACTTGGAGGTTTAACAAAAGATGGCCTTGAAAAAGTACCAAGTCATTTGTGAANTTGTCCTGATCATGGTTGATGCGAAATATGATGTCTCCCTGAATATTCTGACAGGCAACTTGGAGGTTTAACAAAAGATGGCCTTGAAAAAGTACCAAGTCATTTGTGAAGACTGTCACAGCCCACTGTGTAAATTTAGCTGCATGGACAATACATCCATGACTAAAGGAACGGAGTTGGTTGGACTGTTGCAAATAGAGTCCTTGTGTTCTGTCAGTAAATAAACAGTCACCCTCTTCTATGCACAGGTCAACATTTGATGGTACTGCTTTATATGGTTCGTAGTTAATCACCATGATTCCTTGTTTGAATAAATCCTGGCTCTTTTCTAAATCTTTCTTGAATTTCTCCACATCATACTTGTATACCCGGGAAAGACAAGACGAATTTAGGCCGTTAAGTTTAGAAAGCTGAATTCTATCCTTCTTTACCACAAATGCATAGGAATCTTGCTGAAACAGCAGCTTATCTTGAGTCTTGGAAGCAATTGCTAGCCTAGCATGATGGGTGTTTGCTGTTGTGTATCTCTCACATAGAACATTTGGATAATTTTGTCGCACAAACTCACGTACAGCCAAGATTAATTGAGTTCCAAACCCCTTTCCTCTATAATGTGGGTGTATTCTAAGCCCATGAGAGAAACATGTTTGACCATCATCAATAATGCTTACTGCACAGAGTCCAATGGCCTTTTGTTGGTAAGTGCCAATTAGCACCGTAATATTGTCCCTTAGTAGCCATTGTTTAAAACAAGACGGGGCATTGTCATGTCCTTCATAATGTCCCTTGGACATTTCCAGCACTGCTTGGTAATCTTCATTTCCAGCCCGACGGACAGTGAGCTCCATATCTTCAAATTAGGAATACTGTTCAACTGAGATTTGAAATTAAAGTATTATTAGACATTCAATTAGTGAGAGATGTCTTTAATAAATTGTGTGTAAATACTACCAGTAATTAACTAAGGTTAATAAAAAATTTTTATTTATTCATTTTTGTTGTTCTAAAAAAGGGCCCAAACTTTCTTTTGTTTATAACAGACAATTTAACCCCTTTAATCCATTTTATAAGGGAAAAAAATTATGACAGTTTGAACATTTCAAAATTTACAAGGATTTGAATGGAAATCCACTCAACCATGACTGGGTGGCACAAATTGTTTTCCCCATATAAATCCTTACAATTGTTGGTGACCATTGCAAGTATCATTACTTTTGAGATATACGTCTGAAAATTTGCAGGTTACCTGATTTTAATGCATACAGGTATGCCCACAGGTACCCCAAGCTCACGAGTGAGGATCGTTGTTGCATAACAGAAATATCATAAGGGTTTGTATGGAGATTTAAGCTATCATTATTTAGTTCAAATAGTAATAAAGATACATCAGAATTTCTTACCTTGTGCCCTCGTCTAAATTTATGGTGTTTTCTTGGCATTTTTGGCCATTTAAGGGCTATTCCAGTGAGTTATAGTAGTGCCATAGTTCGACCAAAAATTCCATAAAGAAAACACTATAAATTTAGACAAGGGGACAAGGGGGTTATAAAAACGAGGAACATTAGGAACATTGAGACTTGAACTGAAAAATTCCTTTACACATTATGTTTTCATTGCTTAGTTCATCCTGTAAATGCATTGTCAATGGAGTGCATAACCGGCAGAAAAACACAAAAGTTTTCTGGCACCAATCAGAAGTCAGAACGGCAGCGACCGTTGGAACTGGTCTGGTAAGACATTGTGCCCAGGGGCTCTTCTCGCCATTCTTAACTTTTCTTTGTCCCATATTTTTTCGCCCGTTTAAACTTTCCCTTGCCCCCACTATCTGCCCCTGGGTCTCCAAGGATGGGAACAGGGTGGTAATCCAGAACTACCGTCATAAAAACAAATTCTAGTTGGTAAGTATGTAACATGCCACCATGCATTCTTTACATCTGCATGACTGAAATATGGTTCTTAGAATCTTGGGTTCAGTCTCTCTGAGTCTCTACAAAATCAAAACCAGCTCCAAGATCCTCCTTCCCCAATTATATGGAGATTAATGGATTAGATTAATCATACAAAAATTAAATTGCCACGCCAGTGTTTCCTTAAGTTTTTTGGCGGTGATACGGTGTTGAAAGTTCCCTAATGGCCCCACTTTTCGTATTTACAGAATGCTGAACACATGACCAACCCATTGCAAAACGGGTGAGGACAAAACATGGACCAGGGGTCCATGGACCCCTACTTTGGACCGGGTCTATGGACCACTTTCATGGACCAGATCCATGGACCCCCTGTTATGGACCGGGTCCATGGACACTTTTTTTTTAAATAATGAGAAATTAACAAAAACAGAAATAGTGCAATAATAAGATTAAAAATATCAGCAACAACAACAAACAATGCTCAATTGATCAGTAATAATTAATTGTGCTTTATGGTGTAAAGAAGGGGGGTTAGGCAAGACACGACTTTTACCTCATGCCAAAATGCTGCTTGTTCCAATAAACTGTTTTCGCTGACGGGTTGATTATGCTTTGGAGAAAAACGTTTTGACTGAGCAAATGTGAATTTCATACTGAGAGGTCGTGACATGTGTATTGATTTTCTACCTCTTTTGAAATGTAAAGCACTTCATTGCGGCTGATTAAGGGTGTTATATAGGTTGCGTACTTTCTCCAAAGTGCCTCCTGCATCTGAATAATTCTAAGCCATTTTCTTTTTGTCCATGAATCTCACTTTTTCCTGCAATGTTTTGTCATGCTGGGCCCAGCCAGTTAGCGTTTTTAGCAGGATGATTAATTCTCACAGATAGTGATTCACAGATCCAAATCTCAAGCGGATTGTAGCTTAAACTGTAGCCACATCAATTATGGAGAATTTCGATTACTCTAAAAGCAATGAATTCCAAACTCCAGCTTGTTTTTCTGAGGATAATGCAAGTCTTTGTACTGGAGCACGTAATTCCTCCCTTGCTTATAACTTTTGAATTAGCTTAACAGTCTTGCGACTGCACATTTGCAAGCAGAGTGTACGTCATGTAAGCACAACTAAATATTTGTGAACAATCACGAGCATCAGTCGACAGCTTCTTGTCAAATCTAATATTTTTGCACTATTTCTGTTTTTATTCATTTCTCATTATTTGAAAAAAGTGTCCATGGACCCGGTCCATGAATGTGGTCCATGGACCCGGTCCAAAGTAGGGGTCCATGGACCCCTGGTCCATGTTTTGTCCTCACCCTTGCAAAACGCCTATTTCAAGATGGCGGCCGACTGCCAGTCATCTGAAATAAACAATCGGTGAGCTGGAAAGCTCGAAATTTTATAAGTAAAAGCATGCATATCTAAGTCTTTAAACGCGCTGATTACGTATTTTACTTGGCTCCTAAATGATCTTTTCTCCAAGGATTTGGGCTCCGAGTTTTGTTCTTATTCGTGATTATGTCAATGCCATCACAGTGATCACACTGCCTGTAGCAGCTTATGAAAGAGACAAACTTCGCGTTCAGTAATTGCAAAACTTTCACTTACTATTTTTAAGTATATAGATAGACATTTGACAAGTAATTAGAGGGAGGGGACAATTTCGCTTTGCCGTATTCCATTTCTCCATCATTGCAAAATCATGTGAAACATGACTTCTTAGTAAAAAGCTTAAGTTACTTACCGCAAATCCCGTAGCGGTCAGTGTTAAATGCAGGCTGTGGACTGCTCGCTCCTTTAAAAGACCAGGTTGAAGCAAAAGCCTTCCAAGAAACCTCTATACTCTACAAATTAACCATGAAGAGTTCACACCGTTGGCTACAAACTCCAGGCCCAGGCGGTGTGCGTCACGAGATTCGACCAATCAGAATGCGTCATTTGTAGAGAGATTTTCGCGCTCGGAAAGAGCTGTTTTCAGAGGTATACGTGGTGAAATTTTCGCTTTATTCCAAGCTTGTGTTGGTAATTTCCACACTATACCGCCGTGAAAAGTTGTTGAAACACTTTATCGTGAGAGCAGTTGCGTTACTTTTTAATATTTTGCTTTCTTGAGCGTTTGTGACAAGTTTGAATTGCTCGGTCATGTGCAGGCCGCCATGATTATTTGAGTGTTGTTTTTGGCGTTCTTCTTGGATTTATTGCTGGTTACTGTTAGCGGTTTTATCGAATTATTTTGGCCATCTTGTTACTTCAACCTTTCTTCTTTGCAAATTTCGGGTCTACCCGGGTCTACCCCTGTTAGTTTTTCCGTTATGAGCCGTTGAAAGTGTCTTGGAATTAAGACATCGTCTCAGCCAAGTGGCACAACTCCCGGGAAACGGGCTGAGAAAATATGCCGAAGCGGAAGCCGACGTGAAACGAGTAACGCCAAATCCAGGAAGAGTTTGCTTTATTTTAAAGCACAAAAGGTAAATAAGTTTGAATATTGTGATAACCTTTGGAAACAAAACATTTTTCATAACCCAGTGCGGAAACTGAAAGCGTGACTTTAAAATAATTTGCACGCGGTGTGTGCTACGTGTATGCAAATCTTTGTGTAAACTTATGTGAGGGAATAAATTGTTATAAATCTCTACCAAAACACAAAACCATTATCGAAGATCCAGACAACATCATACAGGATTTTAAAACTGTGAGGTTAGGTTTTACTTTATAACAAGATCGATATACTGCGCTGACTTCAATGACCGCTCAGACAAGATCGTAGTTTATTTCACTGTTTATTTCTGCGGCTGTAGCTTCGGTGAAATTCCGATTGTGCTGCAGCTGTTCGGCTCTTCGGTCTGTTTTCCCCTTGCCTGATAGAAGATTTATTTGCGCATAAGGATTTCAAACGGGCACTTTTTTCAAAATCATATAAACTTGTCGATGAAAATAAAATTGTTGTGAGAGACGATTTCTCACCTTGATGTTTGTACGCGCTCCCCCTGCTTAATGCCGGTAACAAAGTCCATCAAATATATAAGCACTTCTAATGGACGAATTTTTTTTAGTTAAGCAAATCCAGGTATGAACTACAGATCTCTTTCACTATGAGATAAAAACATACATATAAACCAAACAGTACATAAAATCTTATGAGGAGCAGGAAATTAGTCGCCGCTCAAAGTCGGCTAGATCGCACGATCGTCTGCGAATCGCGATAAACGTCTTGAAATTGCCTTATGAAGCCAATAGCAAGCATCTAAGGCCACTATGAGATCTTGAAAATTCTCGAAATCGCTCTCTTCCGTAATGTTTTTCGGAAAAGGCAGCAGTGTTTTGATCCCTGGGTTTGATTCATTTCTTTTACGAGATGCGAACTCGACCGTGTCACGATTGAAATGAGGCACAGTAACAGTTTTACCCATGAAGCTTTGTGGGCCGTGACGCACACCGCCTGCTCCAGGCCAGGACACATCTCCCACGCAGACTTTCTTTGGCTCGTCACGCAATCCTTGCTCCTGCGTAACGCGTGTGAGGACTAAAACCACTTACCTTATTGGTGGTTTTCACTTTCACGCCATCAAAAATACAGGAAAGCCTTTAATACAGAAAGTCTAGAATCTGGAAAATGAAAGAAGATAAATATACAAAAAGCTTGCCAAGAGTCAGGTCTGTGTAATATACTCGGAAAAACGTTTTACCCAAATCTAGCTTTGTATGGAGACGCCATGTTTTTGTGTCCCTTTCAAGTCTTTCAAGTGCACAAATAAGGCGGCCGGAAACCAAAAGAAAGATCTGTTTTTGAGTGTTCCTACTTATGCGTGAATTCTTCACTTGAAGAACTCATAACGATTAAAGTAATATTTATTCTGAGACAAGGAATGTTTAAATAGCAAAATCTTCCAAACTGGTAATCTTTTAACCCACATAACTCCTAGCCGTCAGCTAAATG